AAGCGACTATGGAGGCACTGACCCGTGGCAGTCATCTCTGCGGAACTTCTGTGCATAACCAACGGATCGAACGATTACGGGATGACCTCAATAGAACGCTAATTAAATTCTTTCGTTTGATATTTATTCACTTTGAAGAAGAATATGTTTTGACATAGACGGTGTCATTTAGTTGTACTGTTTGCATTATGTATATGTAGAGCGAATAAATAGAGCTCTTAGGAACAATCATTCTATTCGCACAGAGCACAATCGAACACCGTTGCGTTGCAATCGTGGCAAGTTGGAATGATAGCAAATCGCTATGAAAGCTTATGAAGAATATAATAACATTGATGACAATTATGGAGTTGAAGAAACTTCCTATAACAATGAACAAGACAATAATAAAGACAACGATGTAACTGACGAGAATTTTGGGAATTTATTAACTATGATGTCTTCAGAGAGCAGTTTAATCCAACTGTTGAGAATGAAAAATCTGGTATCAATATATTCTTAGGAACCATTGCATTCGTCCGACAATTACTTCAAAATAAGTCTGATGCCATCAACCATAGACATAAATAATTTATACGCAATCAGATAAATTGAGTTGCTGATTCTTTGTTTCGATGAAACATGTGAATTTCAGTGTTTGAAGCTGGATCTTATTGGTTACATCAATAATGCTTCAGCTTTGTAGATCACTGTTATTTATTAATCAATTGATTAACCAATCAACGTCAGAACTTCGTGAGAAAAAAGTTCGATCCCTGATTTTTTGACGTAATTGTTTGACACTTAGCATGCATGACGTAATTGTTTGACGCTAGCCCCTACGGAATATCCGTCAGGTAATTGTTTAACGCTTACTAGTGTCAAACAATTACGAAAAGGGATAGTTTGGCGCTTTTTTGCGAATTCAGACTTTTGTCCTCTACAACAATCTAGCTTTTTTTGTCATTCTATTCCAATTTTGGAATGTAGCCTCAGAATAGATGCTATAATAGACATTAATTCTGATACAAAAATATAGAGTATGTCAGAATGAACAAATTTGACGGGGACGTTTTTCGCCTGACAGACGTTAACGGTCCAGTCCCAACCAATCTGGTTCCTAAACTAAAACCATACTCCCCAATGCAAAATTAGACTGGACTGTAACAAAATTGGCTACTTAGGACAGCATGGTTGTGAATCGTCTCATAGGTTTGAGTCAAGCAAATTTGTCTGGCCTGTAATTTGGATTCGCTGACAAGATTGCTTTATATCACCCGAAGCTACTAAGTAAACATCCCCAGCATATACAGTTTGTCAAAAACCTCAGAATCACATATATTAATACGCAAAATTGCAAAGCCGTAAGTTGTATGAGTCGGCCAATATTGTCTTGTTTGTCGGCAGATCGCGTGTCGATCCTTAACCCTAAGTACGTATATTTTACCGATAGAGATAATAAACGTTATAATACCCACGTATTTAACATTGCAAATTGTTAGTTAATATTTATTATAGATCTTCTTATTAAAAATGTTTTATTCCACTAACTCTGAAGTTATATCAGACTTGCTATGCTTAGCTACTTTATATTTAGAGAAATTATCACGATGAAGAAACACTCTCGATGGGGAGGATACTTGTAGAATATGAATGTAAACTGTTGTAGAAAATGAAACTCTGAAGGTAAGAGTTTAAGAAAGAAGAGGTATGTAAGTATCTGTTTTCAAATGGCCATTACTCTTCAATAGCTCATCGTTTATTGATATTTTGACTCTTTCGATTCGCAATAAAGTAAAGAAAAAATATATGGTACTCTATAACATCTTCAATAAAGCAGAATTTGCAAAAATTTGGAAATTTTACATAAAATGGTTTGAAAAGGGTTTTCAAATGCACATTATTCTTCAACCACACATTTTTTTTTAGCAATGCGTTTTAGCTTATTTAAATCTCCTGGACGTACATAGCGTTTCTTAATGGCCAAATGCAAATAATATTCTCAAAAATGCGTTACAAAATCAAAGGTCAAATTTACCCAAAAATTGGATTGAAATTCTATGAGACAATTTACAACCATCCTAGAAGAGGTCGCGCTAATAATTTTTCGCCTCCATTGACGTACACATAAATAAATGCAACGACGTAAGGTTTGATAATATCGAAGGCCTTGATTTTGATGTCGATGATATTTTCGATCTGCCATTCATTAAAGTTGTTAGCAATAAGAAAATTGGTGATGCTGTTGACCAATGCTGCATTGTAGCAAAGGATAAAGGCACTAGCAATCATAAAGTTTTGGGCGTTGCAAAGGTAAAGCAAGCCATAAAATGCGAATCTCCCTGCGTTGTTCTAGGCCGTGACTTTAAGACTAGTTAATTAATAGTCTTTTCTTTGTTATGCTTAATATAATATTATACATATCATATGTGTTTAATGATTAGTAAAGTAGCTTTCTCTCTTTGTGCAACAATTAGAACGTAATATATTTTCTTAACAATAAACGGTGTATACTTATGATTTGATAAACCAAATGGTTGCTGCGTATTGTACATATATGGCAAAAAACTTTAGACGGTTAATTATCTAAACACGCCTTAATAGTCTTAGCTGTGCTAAACTCTTAATACGATTGTTGCTCGACTACATTCTACTGATAACGTAATCGGAGATGCTTGAATAAACACTAGTAAATAATTAATATTAAAATTTAAGATAATACTCGAACCGTTCGCTCTTCTATTATTTAGAACGGTATCAGTCTTTTAAATTGCTAAAATTCTCTGCTGTTACTCATACACTGCTACTGAATATCGTTTTTATGTAACTGGGTTATTAGATAGTCCAATTAGTAACAATTAAAGTAAAAAATTGTATTTTGCTCAATGGCTTTAGATCTCATCTATTCCCTGTCTTTGTGCTTAACTTGATGATCATATGGTTACGCGTCATGTTTCACATGCTCCTTTTTTTTCACACACGTTTGATTATCTAAAAATGTGGCTGTGAATACATTGAGTTACCGTATAGTTCCGAAATAAGCACCCTCGAAAATAAGCACAATTCTTCTAAATGTTTTTATTGCATGTGACTGGTTATATTCTCTGTCTAATTAGCTTGGGAAATTGTTTCAATCACGAGATCTTATGACGACAATTTTTTTTAGCCAGTGAAAAAGTTTTATTGCATTACATGGACATGTAACCTTTTATATTCTTATGAGCTGCGTACAACTGTGCAACTTGCGAAAAACCCTCTCCCTCTACTGCTACTATTATAAAAAGCGGCTAATGTCGAATCTTTAACGCGACACAAACAATAAACGAAAATAAAAAATCTCTTTACCATAAACCCTTTTAAGGTTTTTACGTGCACACAATCGACAAATAATGATATTTCCTGAAGAGAAAGTCATGAAAAAATTTCGATACATCCTCCCGTGACCAGAAAAAAGACGCTTACGATGACACACTATGGAGAAAACAAAACAAGGCATGTGGATGGTTTGACATGTTCCGGGTGTCTTATTCATTGAAGTATAGTTCTTTGGGGGTTGATGCGTCCTCTAAACGTGGTTCGTTCAAACTCACTCCCATTCACAGATGTCTGGCATGTTCTGTTGGGCCTCGCACGTCCTTTAAACATCGCATCGTACAGACTTACTTATTCGTGGATAGTTTGACATGTTCCCGTTTGGGGTTTGGGTGTCATATTCATTGAAGTATAGTTCTTGGGTATGATTCGTTCACTCGCTCTCGTGTTAAGAAATTCGTTTCTTACTTTTCTTTTTTAATATTATCTAGAACAATCGAAGTAGCGCAAATGTAGAAGGTTTACTCTCTTTATAAAATAAAACGGTCACAAAGTAGTAGATGGTTGGGATTTTCAGTTTTTGGATTCGACGGACAGTGTTTAGGTTGTTTGTTATTACATAAAACCGTTGCAAGATAAGATGGGGTTTACAAAGAAAAATGTTATTGGTCAGTTTTGGGCTTGAGCGATCAGTTCAGTCTATTGTTATTGAGTAATAAGTGCAACTTTCTTCCGCATGTAGCTTTAGTCAATTTACTTTGAACTTGATGCTAATTGTATGTCACTGCGTATATTGTCTCTACTACTTTATTAGTCATCTCATTTTAGTATCTAACGGAATAATTATGCTTAAACTATGGCCTGGGGGGTTTTTGAGCAAACCAATAGATAGCAAGACAAAATAATGCAAATATTCCGACTTTCTTATTGTCCAATATCGAAAGTCAATTCAGAAAAGCGTACATATTCCATTACGGCTTGATCGCTAGTTGATATCAATGTCAGAGGCATAAGAGACTATATCTGCACATTTTATTACGGAAACAAGTGTTCGTTAATATTAACGGTAGAAAGTTCCCGAAGCATGAATGGTACGTGAGAATTGCCTTCCAGCAATGAATAAATACCTTCATATCAATCGGATGGACTAATTGGTCTAGAAAGTACTTCCCAAAAGAATCAATTCATCCTCACAGCAAGTCTACGCCTATCAGGATATCCGATGATAATCACTAGCTCTGTACGATTTGTATGCTTTGGTCTCAAAAGAACGAGAGCAATATTTATATGCGGGTACAAATGACGTCCAGTAATTCAACTATGTGGCACAAAACCAAAACAACTAAAACTGCCAAAGTTATTTTTCCGTCAAAAACTAAAACCGACGCGTAACTAAATAATAACTTTACGAAAAGATAACATCCGTTTAAATTGGAGTTTATCTTACTTCTAACGTATTACGTACGTACCCCAGTACGTTTTATACATAGAGCTATTAGCTGAGATAAGAAACGTCCTCACTTATTACGTTGAAGGAATGATAAGGCCATTATAATTAGTATTCTACAAATCAAAAAAGGTTCAGAGCGCCATAAATTACGCAGTTGCGCAATGCTGATAGATTGCTACTTGCGAATCATGGAAGAGTGTATCCAGAGAGATGATAAATACTTTCATTTTGATTCATGCTTGATTTGTTGGAAGGCAACATGGCAAATGTGTCAATGAGAAAAATCCCTGCAGCGAAAGACGTCAATACGTTCCGGTTGGAGAACCAAAGGGCTACCCTCGGTGTCAATGATTGTATACCATTCGTTGGTTATGGATACTGTATCTGGTGATATCGCCAAGCTAAGGCCGTTGCAAAAAAGGGCTACTTAATTTCGAGCGTTTTGAGGGGAGAAAACGGCTAAAAACGTAACCTCGGGCAGGGAGAAGGAGGTAAACGATAATGAAAGTGCAGAAGAAGAAGAGGTTAATGTTAACTTGTATTATGCTCTTTGTTAGACCTAGAATCAATAGCAATGGAGAGCTGAGCATGTCTTAGATACCAGAACACATTCTTCTTTTCACTCAAAGAGGTGATGATGTGATGCCTATACTGAAACTTGTCCTGGATGTATTTGAATACGAACTGGATAACACAATTGCAATCTACAATCCAGCGGTCTTATGATTTAGTATTGGTCTGATGTCGTTTGCTAGCGGATTCTGAACTACTTGTTAACCATAAGCCAAGTAATTACGTTACACATATGATCGACCGACAAAAAACCGCAGAGATGAGATTGTTTAATATTAAAAGCATATCCGCTTTTTAGACGCTGTACAAAATGAATAATATAGTTGATTTGTCCTCAGGCCTTTCATCAGACTATGGAAAGCTTTACAAAAGTGGCAAATATACAGATGTTTCAATTTATGTTGGAAAGGAGCCGGACAACAAAATATTTCTTGCACATACTTTGGTATTATGCACAAGAAGTGCCTTTTTTGAGGACAATCTTGCGGGAAATACGGAGATCCAAAAGGATGCCATTACGTTTGAAGATGTGCCACCTGACGTTTTCGAAATCTTGCTTGGGTAAATTTCATAATTTAGAACACATATCGTAAGCTTTACTGTCCTGCTAACACACTAATACTCATACTCACTGCAAAATTTAACAATTCACAGGTTTATTTACACTGGGCAAGTGCCCTATGATTTGTGCGAGAATCTAAGTTGGATTAGTCTTTTGGATGGAGCTAACAAGTTTGAACTACTTGATCTCCTCACTGCAATTGAAGCTTATTTGATTGATAAACAAAAGGAATGGATTCAAGAGAATATTATCACAGTTCACAAGTATGCTCTTTCTTCTGCCCCTTTGAGCAGGCTCCTGGGATATTGCAATCGAATTCTAGTTTCATGCCCAGATATTGTCTTTAAATCAAATGATCTTGCAACCCTGCCAAAGGAGACTTTGATTACTCTCCTCAAAAATGATGAGCTTAACATGAATGAAGACGATATTTGGATGTCAGTTATTCAATGGGCTACCAAACAAGTGCCTGAACTAGAACTTGGAACTGATCCAGATGAATGGTCATCTAGTGACAGTAGCACAGTTAAAGATATTATAGCAGATCTTATACCTTATATAAGATTTGTCAGTATCTCCCCTGACAAAGTTGTTCTGTATGATGATTTGCTACCAAAGAAGTTACGTCATGATATACTGAATTGTCATGTGAAAAAAGATTATCAATCAAAAATCCCAATGTTGCCACCAAGAATAGGACAAAAACCTGATATTGATTCACTTATCATTAACAAAAAGCAAGCAGTATGGATCTCATCAAAGATTGTTGAATCAACAAGGCGACTTCAAGAGAATCAAAGGACAACTATAGTGCAAGGTGTTCATAAATTTACTCTACTTTATAGACAAAGCAGAGATGGTAATACAGTTGCAAAGTTTCAAGAATTGTGTAATAATAAAGGGCCCACAATTGCTGTTGGAAAAGTGTTGGGTACTGAAGAAATATTTGGTGGATATAACCCAATTGCATGGAGTTTCAGGGACTGTTGGGTTGACACTAAAGAAAGTTTTATATTTGCATTAGATAAAAACATAGATAAGAGTATAGTAAGTTTTGTTAGGAATAGTAATAATGCCATTTTTGATTATAATACTCGTTTTCCTGCTTTTGGGTATGGCCATACTTTGTGTTTTGGTAATGGCACAACATGTGACCGACCTTATATTAGTAACACTGATACATATGAAGTGCTGATAGGAAATCCATTCAGCTTTGAATGGGTTGATTGGGAAATGTTTCTAGTTTCATAACTTTGATGTGAGCTTGTTTGTTTCATTATTACAAATTTTGGTAATTGAAATTTGTATCAATAAATACTGTATAATTACTTATACTGTATGTTGTATTACAATCACACTATGAGGAATAAATTTACACAATAGTTATCATTTTGATCTTTATTAAGTTGAAGTTTACATTGTTGCAATAACTATTTATCTAAAAACTGTGTCACTATAGTTACGGTCGGGTGGTCTGGGTTTTGGGAGAGCGATTAAATCTTTCGCGTAGGGGTCCGGGGGATGTTACCAGATTAGCTTTGTGCTACCGCCCTTATTACGGTAGTTGTTCAATTAAGACTGAATTCTAATCTACAAGTGACCTAATTAATAATAAGAAATGCGAGCTTCCTAACTCCCTATTCGAGCTTCAATTCCAAATAAAGTATCTACGATAAAATAACAACAACAATTATTTTATTGCAAAATCGAAGGGGAATAAAATTTATTTAATAATTAAATACTATCTTCGATTTGGTGTATCGACTTCGGGTATCTGTCACTTGTCTCTAATATAAAACTAAATAAACAATAATCGTTTTCAATAATTAATTATAAGCTCTCGTTTCTCAATTAAGAGTAATAGATCAGCGGACAACTTATACAGCTTGGTAGAGCCGTTTATGGACGTTTACAGCTTGATAGAGCCGTTTATTAGTGTGTCCGGTAAAATAATTAATATTTTAAGCGATTAAAAAAATAAAATAAAATTTCGACTTCAAAGGGAATCGTTTATTTGATTATTATTTTTGTAGATACTATTATATAACATAACAACATGAACAACATGAGAATTCGACAATGGGATAAGGATAAGGGTCGCTTATATACCTTTAGCGACACTCAAAAATCGAAACGGAGTTAAAAATAATAAACAATCGTGATTTTTATGAAAAACTAGCTTTTTTTTTTCACCCATGCTTCAACTTGCTTTTGAGGTTTGAACGCTGTTGCAATACTAAAAATCATATGATCCCATAGATATCAAGCTGCTTTATACATAGGCAAACTCGATAAGTCGGACGCTCGATAAGTCGGATTTGGCTTAACTCGGACAAAAATTTTCGGCCCATTTTTTGAATAGTTAAAATTTTTTTGATAAGTCGGACGACATACAGTCCCCCCGAAAAGTAATGGCGGGGTGTTTATTTCACCATGCAACTCATTTTGTGATACAATCAGCTGCCACTAAAACATACAGTTCAGGAAGAAAATAATGGCGGTCAGCAAAAATATTTTTACAGTAAATCTTGCAGAGTAAACGGTCGCAAA